TATAACTAATAAACGATATAACTTTTCGTACATTTTCAATTGAATTAATTTCATTTCATATATGTCTTTCGATACAAAATATTTATTATATTTTATTTTGAAGAAAATGTTTATAATAAAGTTAAGTTATACAGAAAATTATCGACCCACAAAATGGCAACAAATTTATTTAATGCAATATGAATTCCATAACATTGTGATCTATTCTTCATCGAAACTTATTAACCTATAAAAATTCTTACATTCTATAATTATAAAAACTTCCAATCAATGGAACCATTTTAGATCAACTCATATATCATATAGAAAATTTACAGTAACATTCATTATACTACAAAGTATTACAAAAAATTCACATTAACCCTTTGACTGCTACGGGCGCATATATGCGTTCGACGCAAGCCATCGATATAGACTTTGGACGCAAATGCGCGCTCGACGAAGTTTTTGCTGTTTACTGTTTCCTTATATGTATGTTTGGAAATACAAAAAAATACAAAAAAATAGTATTCAGTCCCTAGCGATCGCTTCAACTTAGAGTAGTTAGCAGTCAAAGGGTTAAAGGATTACACTATTTTGACGCTCGGAAAAACTAGCAAAAATTTAAAACATTTGTTTGACACTACTTGAAAGTATTATCCAGCAAATTTTTTCGAGCGCCAAAATGGTGTTATCTCTTTACAAATAAAAAAAGAACATAATCAATATAAATAAAATTAGTTTTTTTTTCTAAATTAAAATCTTTTACTTAAATTTACTTAATTTCAGATCATTGATAATTGATAAATTTAAGAATTGAATTAAAGAATATGTAGAGAGATATGTCATAAATGTTTAAAAATTGATCAATTATATTTCTTCAAAAACTGTACGTAGTGAATATATTAAATATTATATTATATTAAGTATATTAAAATGATGTCAATAATATTAAATATAATAGTTTTAGTTCATGATTAAAAAATCATCTAATTATACGGTATTATCTTCTTCTCGTAAAATGAAAGAAGTCTTCATTTGATGTTCTCTCGCAAAGTGCAAGCGAATGCGATGAAGTCTTCCCTTTCGTTACGCAAAGAATGACAAATGGATGGCCATTAGAACGATTTCGTGATCATTTCGTCCTTCCATCGTCCAACACTTTACTTTGAGTCACACGCAAAAAATTAATTACCACCACGAGTATTCGCAAATCAAGTGCGGTAAAATCATCGGCTGTGGGACTCCCTCGTCGTTGATTCATGCGCTATGTGGTACAAGTATTCATATACGCGTGTATATGTATACATACGTGTAAGCGATAAATCTTTAAAAAGATCTGTAATTATAAAATACAGAAAGCGGGAGAACAGCGTGAAAAAAAGAAATTAAAATTATTTAATTATTGTTGATATAGATAAAAACAAAACTAATACCTCGTTAATTTAACTACTAATTGAATTACTAATCGTTCATCATAATAATAATTTAAAGAATACTTTGTCATTCTAAAAACCTAGACGCGAACATAGACATTATTTATTTCCAAATACAATTAGTCTCTAATATCTTATTTATGTGAAATGTTATTTTATTTAAATTATTTTATTGCTTATATTACTATGATTATATTACAATAAAAATTACATATATTTCTACCAATTTTGTATTAAAAATCGCTAAATGAAATGTTTATGTAATAGACTCACCAATTAATAGACGCATTTACGTATATAAAAGGAAAAATTCAAACTAAATGATAAAATGTACCACGGATAAAATTCGGTATATATTTTTAAATCTATATTAACACAATTACGAGTAAACATTAATGCATTGAAATCCGTATAAATGAAACTTCAAAAAAGATAAATAAATCATACATTCATTTAATTTTGTTGAGTTTTCGAAAAAAATACTTCCGTGATATTATTATACATATGTTATATTCGCTAATGATTCATAATAATTTTGTAAATGTTTTTAAAAATTTGATAAAACATGACCGTACTCATAATAAGATTATATAACGAGAAAAAACTCCATGTAATTAGAAACATATTCGTTAATGCTTCGTAAGACAAATGAAGTTTAAAACTCGTATATGTGTAACGTATTTCGAATAGACGCTCTCGGCAAAACACTGTTTCGAAACTGACACGAATCGTAACGGTACTCATCAGCACGGTACAACAGCATTCCTCGTTGTAAAAATTTGAAAAATTTAATGGCCTCATTATCATTTAATACGATGCCAGAGAAATATGACTTCTCATTTTAGAAGAGAGTATCAAACACAGGAGGAAAAGGGATTGTTAATGAAGAGATAGATCAAAAGGAAATACGAAGAGCCTTCAACGGTAATAATTTAATTGAAAAAGTAAGAAAAAAACCAAAACCTTGTGATTTTTTCCCTTCGTTGATTAATTGCACCTGTTGGAACGAAAGCAATACAAAATAAGTATTCGTGAATAAGCTCGTCGACGAAATTCGATCACACGCCGCGGTACTTTTTGTAACGCAACCGTTTAATTGCAATTGTAATTAACCGTGGTCGAAGCTGCCCGATGAGCGTATTAATTTGCCACAGAAAATGTTTGCGAACGAGTGTGTTTATACTACGGGATATATGTACGCGTACGTGTACACGTATGCCAACGTACGTGTATATGATCGATTTAACCCCGCCGAAAATTCATTTAACTTTCCAATTTTTCCGATAATGTCTCATTAATTCTCATTAATTTTTATTATCGTTCTCTCATAAATCTCCAAAGATCGTGTTGCTGATTGGTTTATATTTTTTGCATTTATTAACATAAATCATATATTTTATTCAAAAATATCCTATTAGGAATACTAAAGAATCTATATTATTCTCACGATAATTCATAAATGATTAAATATATTTAATCATAATGGATATAAGTTGTGACAATAAATTACATCTTAATGTTAAATCCCTTCACATATAATCCAACAAAAATATCCCCTTAACGATCGAATCTTTTTCCCACACATTTAGTTTCTAACTTTCTACCAATAAGACATATCTTTTTTATCGCACACCGATAAATTCAGGTGGGTTTAGCGCCGAGGTTTAATTAAACTAGTTTGGTCGTCATTCCGTCCCTTTCTAGAGCCCAAGCTTTTACGTGTCTCCGTTTGAATCGATCGACCACTTTAATTTAGTCGCTTGCGAAAGTAACGCACACTCTTTACGTTATATTAGTAAATTTATGTAGGGAAAGAAAAAATATATATTTATACGATACGTATACTAGTAAGTATCATTAGTATTCTTCAAAGCGCCACTTTATTATGCGTACTCGAGGAAATAAACGAGAAATAACACGAACCATTTTTTATCGTTCATTTATTTTCTTTCAATAACTACTCGTTCGATTATAAACGAAGTTAAGTTAATGTTAAGTGAAATTAAATAATTTATATTGGCGTCTATAGCTTAATGATATTGTTTTTGCGAAACAGATTCAATATATTTAAGTGTTACGGAAAAAGAAAAATAAACAAGTAGTATAATAATACTTATTTTAAAACGTCCTTTCAACATTAAAGATTCTCTTAGTAACGTAAAAGAATGAGATCCTGTTGATCTCATGTAATCATCAGTCGTAAAAGCTGTCATAAGCTGTGTTGTGTAGTTCCCATAGATCGAAACACGGATAACGGCAATCCCGTAGATATCAAAATTTTCGAATCATCAACGTTATTTCGATCATTTCGTTGCTCGTCAAAGGTGGAGTCACGAAAATTTATTTACCATAGGCTTCGGGTCAATAAAAAATAATTCCTTGATATTTTGATCGTTCAAATAGACTATTATTCTTTGTTCTTTGCCGTGAGGCAAGTGGATTGATTGGTTGGATGGTTGGTTGCTTGCTTTACTAGATACTTAGCAAATTAAGAATCTAGCTCGAAACTTCTTTATCAAACTTTCAATTATCCAAAGGTCCTGCCCCTTGAGCTGAGCAATTACAAACACGCGACTCTCTCCAACATAAATTCAATAAATATTTGCATTCTTTTTACTAAATAAAAAAGTCAATTAAAATCCGAAGACGACGATGTTTTTACGATAATTAACACATTTCCAACTAAGGTTCCAACTAATATATTTATCCTAAAATATTTATATAACTTATATTCTACATCTACATGAGAGTTCGTGTATAAAATATACAATTTTATATTCACGCATAAACACATACAAACATTTTTAAACACATATAATCAGATATATGTATATTCATATTACAAATAAATTTAATTTTCAAAATTAGTTCTTTTTAATTCTAAATATATCATATGTCTATAAATTTATCAATTAAATGATTACTATTCCACCAAACGAATTTCTCTATATGTTGTATGACCGTTAATTAAATTGAACTAAATAATATGCATTTACATATCGTTGAAAAACGACAAAGTTAGCGAGTAAAGTAACGAATGGAACTGAATAAATAATAATAATCATAATTGGTAAATGGAAGGAAGCAGAGACTGTGTAATTAGACGACTCGTTTATGCAAATAAAAGGACGCTAATTACGTCGTAAATGCGGTAACCATATCAAGATCAATATTCCGCATCGCGCTTGCTATTTACGCAAAATCTCAGAAGCGATGTAACGTAAAATGAGAAATTCTCAGACTTGCGGGTGGCCATTGAAATACCATGATTTATTTTTCTGCTTTTAAGCGAGAATTTGTTTGAAAAGCAATAACGTTATTCGTAAACTAAAATGTGACATCGATGGGACTGTTATAACATTCGCATGAAAATCTATTTTATTGTGCGTCGTTATCGAGTAAATCAAAAATATCAAAATAAAAATAAAATCAATACTAATAATAGAAAGTTTAAGAGAAGGAAGAAAAAAACGATTCGATTAAAAAACAAGATAAAGTTCACTCGGATTTAGAATTTGGTGGTTGGCAATAAAAGCAAATAGGTGTCGCATAAATACTACTCTGATAACTAGGCTCACAACTTACCGGGCTTATCCAGATCAGATACGTCGACCTGCGAGTAGACCGAGGCCACTCCCAGGACCAACAAAACTGTGGTCGTGGTTGTAGTGGTACTACTATTCGTTGCGAATTGCATCGTCGAAGCGATGCTAGCGAAGTTCCACCTGCACCTCCACCACATTTTTTCTCTTTTCTCTTTTCTACTATTTTTTTTCTTCTTTTTTCCTTTTCTTCCTTCTTTCTTCCTTTTTCCTCTTTCTTCTTCTTCTTCTTCTACTTCGCACTAATTATTCACACAATAACGAACAAAAAGAAATGAAAAAAAAACGAGACACGTTCCCTTCAGTTTTTCTTTTCGTTCTTGCCAGGTGTTTTCTTACTCCTGATAAGTGTTAGCACTCCATATACTTAGGACAGTTTCGAAATGGCACTACTAATTGCAACCACGAACCTTGTTTTCGTTTTCTTTCTTCCCTCCCACGTTCGTTATGCCGGCAACGCGTTCGCTGCCGTCGCAGCATTGCGTCCTGGACATTTTCCTTTATTTTCTTCTATTTTCCTTTTGTTTTTGTATTTTAACCTTCTAAAAGGATTGATTTTTAATTGGATATTGCTTGAAAAGTCGACGATACAATTTTTAATCCATTAATAAAATCTTTCGTCGAAAATTGTCGTCGAATTTCGTCAAAATGTACGATTTTTGTTTTTCTAACCTTAAATATCTTCGGGCAAAAATTTGTACGTATATGTTTGTAAAAATCGGTAATAGAAAATTTAGGTGTGATACTCTTCGATAATGGCAATGTTACGATGAAAACTCATGAATATTTCACGTTTTGTTGGCAGTTTAGTGATAATAACTCGTGAATTTGTCACCTTTCATTGGCAGTGTTGAAAGAATTATCATTCTAAGAAACACGCGTTTAAGTTGATTTGGTTAGTTTCTTTCTACCCCTTCTCTTTCTCTTCCTCTCCCTATCTCTCTCTCGAGAAGTAAAATCTTTCAAAAAAAATCACGTGTATCTTTTATGTTCATATTAAAGCGAAGATAAAAGCGTCTGCTTATATTTATTAAAGAATAGTAGCTTAGGCTCGTTCACAAAAAAACTGATAATTATCAGCAAAAAAGACGATAAATTCTCGCACTCGGATCAGCAAAACTGATTGAATCCACTCGTAAGACAATCCTTCGTAAACTCTGAAGATAAGTTTCAATCGAAACTGTAAATATCCCTTGGAGATACAAATCGACTTGTATTAATCGATCTCACGTGTCTTGTCAAAACTATCCACGAGAGCGTGTCACGTGCGTACACGTAGGGATTGAGGTGGGTTCTCTTTTTTCGGTTCAATTTTGTACAAATGTGCTTTGACAGCGATAAAAAGAAAATAAAAACAAAAACAAGAGGAAGAAAAAAAGAAAGAAAAAAGAGAAAATAGAAAACAAAAAAAATATTACAGAAAAAAGGAAAGAAAAATCTACCTCTGCTGGAAACTTTAGCTTATCTCTAAAAATACAAAAATTCGTTTGAAATGTCACTGAATCGATGACGGATCATCGACGAAGGCCGTCCATTTTTTGTATTCCATTGACGGATTCCGCACCCCGTACTTTTACCGTCGTCATCCGCTAGCACATATGTTACGATCGATTTTATTTCGATAGCAAAAACAAATAATCAATCGATCGATAAAACAAACTAAAACAACAAATAAAAACAAAATTATGAGCACAAAATAAAAAACCAACTTCGTGTGTCTTTTGTTCTTCTTTTTTCCTTTTCTTTTCCTTTCCTTTCCTTTTTATTTATTTCAACGTAAAAACAAATCTTCGACGATTTTCACTCATGACAAAGTATACTTTATTAACGCGTTATGCTAGTTTCGAAATAAAGAACGCGTAAAAAAACCTTTCTTATCACGGAACCACATCGAGTCCTGACCCGCAGCGGCTCGGCACTGAAACCATTGAGTAGCGCGAATGACTGTCGCGAGTCTCCTCGGTTATATCCGTATTTGCTCGGATACGTTCGGGCACGCTCGCCTCACTATCCTCTTCTATTCTATCGCACCACCTTCTTTCTCATTCTCTTTGCTATCGGCTAGTCGAATTTTTCTGTTCTAAACTGAGATAGTTCTTTTCTCTCTTTCCTTCTCACACCGACTTTTTTCTATTTGTCTATGAAATATTAAAAATAAATGAATAAATCTATATTTATTTATATTCGTACCGATAATCATGATAGTGGTCTATAAGTTATCAAAATTATATAGATTTTATATTACGATTTATTTTCTAATGTAAAATAATTTTAACGTAAACAAAAAAATTATAAAATTCATTTTCCAATATTTTGATTCAGTCCGCTATCACATTTGTCTATTTTTTATCCATTCGCGTATGCTATATTTATTCTGTGATTTTCCTATTATTATCACTTTAATGGCCGCACATCTACGCAGTTAAATGTTGCCAGGGGTCAGCAACATTTTTAAAGAATTAATATAAACAGCGAAAGCATTACACGCATGTTGTGTGAATGGCCACTAAAGTGTTAATTTTAATTTAACATTTTAACATTTTTATATTATATTTATATTTTTCTTCATATGTTTATTAGTTTTATTTTAAATATCTATCACAACAAATTAAAAACTTCGAATAGAATACAGAATCTGTTTTACTCCAGATAAATTCCTAGTAGTTTATATTAGAATTTTCGTTTCTACGTGTATATGTATAACTATATATATTTTTTTCTATTTTTTGATATATCTTGTTCTCTCTTTTGCTTGTATTCCTTCCGTATATTGTTTCATTTACTACGTATCTCCAATGAATCTTCTAGCAGTTTCTCTCTCTCTCTCTCTCTTCCTCTCTCTCACTCTCTTACTCCTTCTTCGTTATTTTCCCATGCAGAGGATTAGTATGATTTAGCGACACAGCTAATGAGTCGCCATAATCGTCGTGGTGCAGGCACCGTGCAAACATCGTGCGTGCAACTTGCACTCACCAGGAACTAGATGCTCCTGGGTACTGTCTTACTTCGTTATCTATGTTACTCACCTAAGGGAACTCATCCTCCCGTCTCTCTCTCTCTCTCTCTCTCTCTTTCTCTCTTCACATATACACACAAACACTGCGTTTCTATCTCTTATGGTTTCACTTTGTTAGTTTCCTATTACAGGAAGCCGCGTGTTAACGAGTAACCATTGACCTCTGTTCCATTCGAACTATTCTAAAATTTATTATTTTTGAAATTCGAAGAAGAGATGTTTCAAGTTATCCGCGGTATAATTAAAAAAGTTTGTTATTATATTTTTTTCAATTGGCATTTTCAATGTGTAATAGTCGAACATTAAACATACTTTGACTATACTTTATTAATTAACATTTCTGCATTTATCTTGCATGTTTCATCATTCTAATTATTAATGTGCATTATCGATTTGATGCATAAAAGAGCGACCAATTGCAGGGTTTATTAAAGTTTCCCCTTACGTTTATCCTCTCGATGCACGGCTCGACAAATTTTATTATTTCCCATCTAACGATCGATATGTCTCATTAAACTCGTTAGAAATGTTTGCTCATAACAAATACGTAACGGACATTACATCGAAATTACAAATTAATAGTTTATTTGCTTTTATTGACGTCGTTTATTCGTAAAAGATTCACGAATGAATTCAGTTTCGAGAAATTTTAAGGAAAGAACACAAGAGATTCGTTATTACTTAATTAATAAATAATTAGAGCATATGTTGTTTTTAAAGATATTATGAAATTGTCAAAGAAGAAAGTTAGACTCGTAAGATAATTTTATCTAATTGTAAAATAAAGGATATTTGGAGGGGAATAATCTCATAAAAGATAATATGAAAAATATTGAATAAGTGTGTATACATGTGTGCGTATGTGTGTGTGTATTATATAAACTAACAGCAACGAGTTGAATTCTTGGCTCGTACGCAAGTAAGAGAATGCACGTAACCAATGCACGAGGCCAAACGGAGGACACGTACTTAAGCCGTCGACGAAAACTGATGGTCCGTGCGTAGCAAGTGCATGCGCGAGATAACGACCCTCGAAGCTTCATGACTCTAGAGAACTACCTCCGATCGCGATAAATTCTGGCTTTCGTGTTTCCATCGCTATCGGGAATCGACTGCAAATCACTTCCTAATCCTCATCGAGTAGGTATCTCCGGAGGTACCTTTCCTAAATCCGCTTTGGGTTCGGAGCTTTAGTTTCGTATATCGTTATTCTCTTATCCCTTAGTTTGGCGTACAGTCGACGGCTCATCGATGATCTTTAAACGTAAATTACAATCGGTGGATATCTATGCGTTCGAAGGCTGAATATCAAATAGGATAATTGCCGTTCAAATCTCGTTATAATGCGGAGAGTTTCCTTCTATCAAATCTCTACGCGACGTCTTTTCATTTATTTAATATTAATAAATATTATTCGTCAATGTTAATGTTACTCTCTCTCTCTCTCTCTCTCTCTCTCTCTCTCTCTTAAGAAAATCTCTTAATATTGTCTTCTCGATTAAATAAAATTAATCTATAATGAGTAAGGGTTATATACTATATCGTCGATCTTTAATGAAGAAACTTATTGATCGATACGAAGTTCGATAAAGCTAAGAAGAAATGCAATCGATTTTCAAGTCATCGATCTTACGATAAGAACGAAAGGTAAAGATAAATCGAATGAAGAGAGGAATTCAAATCTAAATCGGTAATCACGATAAGAGGCCTACTTACGTGGCTAAGATCTTCCATTTCATGGTTGAAATTCTCACTGAAGTCTGGACCACGTGCTAGTTCGACGACATTTTACATCTAGCACAGTACCCGCTTTCATGCACGCCCGACGGATTGGAACCCGACACCACATCATACATCATGATACATCGTTGAACACCCAGACTGTTAATCCGAAGCACACGCTGGATGCGATGTAATTGGCTTTCCGGTTTGTTCACGACTCTGTATACGCCATGAAACCTTCCAGGCGCGCTGTTTCTACTCACTCCTCTCTTATAACTTTCTTTTCTTCTTCAACGTTTTCCATTCTACGCAGATCTTCTCTTTTTACTCCTTTTCTGATACATTCTTAGCTTATAAACGTTTGGCTTTTACATACCTAATTATATACACGTATATAATTATACTTCCTTTATCTCATTTATTTTTCATTTGAAATATTTATTTACTTTTCTACTTTTAATTCAAATTAATTCTTTAATAATATTAATGCATTTTTGTTTAACAAATATTTCATTGCTATAATTAGCCAGTATTGACACGGAAAGTAAATATATATTTTCGTTTAATGTCGTCAATAATTTCATTCATTAGTTATTTCGAGGCAGGAATACTCGTTCTTTTTTTTCAAAACAACCATAAAAGAAATTTTTGTAACATATTTACTCGTGTATACACGTGAACTTCTTCAGTACTAAGCAAGGTGCATTGTAAGTAATGATCAGTCTTTATTTATTGCAGTAAAGTTGTCACTTCCGTAGACTAAAATTTAAATTAATTAATTATTAAATTATTATTATTTAACAGTTATCAGTATCCTTTTTTTCACAAGTAAATGTTGAGACCTTGTCTTTTCATGCAAGTAAACTTAAATCAGTAGTATTTTCTATTAATATGCATTTATTTTATGAATATAGAGTTTATTAGCTGTAATAGAGCATAATTATTATTTAAATTAGCAATCGTAAAATTATTTAAATAATAAATGATGAAAACTCACTATCTAAATATGAAATAAATAAATTTTATCCTCGTGATGAAAATAAGTTTAAATAATTATTATTTTCTACTATTATTCATTAATCTTTTCAATATCAGATGTAAATGTAGTAATAAAACCTAATTATTATTTTAATTAATAAATTTGATAATTACAAATTGTTGTTAATTGTTTTATTGAAATTCTGTTCAGTACATGTAAGTAAATAATGAGAGAAGTATTTGTCTATCTATCATTTTTAGACATGATTTCAAAAAAATAATCATGTTTCCATAAATATCAATTAATAAACTCTTATAATTATTCATAAAAGTCGGACAATAACGGTATATATAAAAATTAATTATAAAAATTAATTATAAAAATTATTTTAAACTTATAGGATTGATCAATTAAAGATAGAGGTTCTTGCAAACCATTCTCAACTATTGTTGGTGTTTTGAGTAGAAATCGATGGAAGAAAATGGAAAAAGCGTATCAGCAATTCGTTTCTTCGTTTGTTTCACTCGAAGTGGAGAAACGAACGACTTCGTAAGTGGAGGGTGAGAAACAGTAGATGGTCTGTAACAGTTAACTATGCTACAGGAGAGATGCTAGAGCTAAGGGAAATGAAGAAGAAAAAGAAAAAGGAAGAAAAGGGGGTTACGCCGGTGGCAATGTTGGCTGGTTGATGGGGTGGAAAGTGGGGGGTTACTGGTACTGAAATTTATGTCGGTGTTTACGCGGAGTAGATGGCGTTCTTGGTTGAACACAGAAGGAGAAAATAGTTATTACGATTACGGGTTCACGAGGTACGAGCTCTTGTTCAAGAGCTGCAAGATTTTCTTGTCTTTCTCTTTCTCTATCTGTCTCTTTCTTCTTCGTATTCTTTCTTCGGTGAGATACGTCCTCAACAAAAGAATCGAAAGATCGCAAAGAATTCGTAGAATTGCTATAACAGA